TAATTAATGTAACACCCGAGATTATTTCCGCTGCAATTGTATGAGGAATATGATTAGGTAATACGTATAGGGTAGGGTGTTACAAGTTTTATCAAGGAGCTTGATTTCGTTTGTCAAAACTACCTAGCTGCTATGTGTATCATTGGGGATTTCAACCTTGTGAGGACCGTCGATGACTATGTTGGCAGTCCGCGTTGTGCTGAAACAATGGAAGAATTCAACAATTTTATTAGCACTAACAATCTTCTTGAGCTACCATTGCAAGGATCCAGATTCACTTGGCACAAAGGTAGTAATGATCACTCCCTTTCTCGGATCGATAGAGCATTAGTTAATCATAACTTCGATGACTAGTTCTCCCCAGGTGCTGTTACTGCCCTTGAGCGAGTTGAATCATATCATAATCCGATCCTCATCAAATGGGTGCACGAAGAGAAGTTCCTTCATCCTTTGAGATTCGAGAGTATGTGGTTTCAAGAGTCATCCTTCCTCTCCTGCCTTTTAGGTTGGTGGTACGTTCCCGCTACGGAATAAGCCATCTTTTCAGATTCGGACAGAAGGAAAGACGAGCTAAATTCCTGATTAAGCAGTGGAATAGAGCATTTTGGGAAGGTCGACAAGAAGATTGCTGATTTACTCTGAAGGGTGACTGAGTTCGATAAAGAAAAAGAAGATGGTGAGCTAAGCAACTCGGCAGGAGGAGAAAGGGGATTATTAAAATGTGAACTGGAAAAAATGCTTCTGATGGAGGAAATTATGTGGCGTAAAAAATCCCTGGAAATTTGGCTTCGTGTTGGAGATAGGAATACTCCGTTCTTCCATAGAGTGGCCAAGCATAACAGGAGAAGAAACAGGATAAACATGTTGAAAATCAATGGAGTTTTTACCGAAGAAGAGAATGCTATAAATGCCGCTTTTGTGGTTTTCTTCCAAGGCAAGTTCGTTGAAGAGGAGACTGCAAGACCGTTTCCCAAACATTACAAACCTTTCTCTCTTAATGTCGAATAGAATGAGGCTCTTGTTAAGCCATTTACCGAGGCTGAAATCAGATTTGCTATTAGCCAGTGCAACAACGATAAAGCCCCTAGACCCGACGACTACGCATTAGAATTCTACAAAAAGGCTTGGAATATCATTAAGCAGGATTTAATCAAGTCTCTTGATAATTTCTACCTATCTGGTTCCTTACCACACTCGGTTGCTCACTCCTTCATATGCATACTACCAAAAAAAGAGGCGTTTGAGGATGTATCTGACTTTCGGCCAATTAGCCTACTGGGGAGTCTGAATAAGGTAATTTCCAAGGTCCTCTTCAACTGTCTACAACCCTTAATGGGGAAAAAACAATGTTAAAATTCCAGTTTGCAGGCTCCAAGAGTCGAGTCATCCATGAAGCCAGCTTCATAGCAAACGAGCTAATCGATAGCCGCAAAAAGAGTGGTAAATCTGGTTTGACCATTAAGTTAGACATCGAAAAAGCTTTTGACTCTATCAATTTGGGCTTCATATTTAATGTGTTGAAGGCCATGGATCTGCATCCGTGCTTCCAAAAGTGGATCAAAAGCATCGTGTCCTCCGCCAGAGTATATGTATTAGTTAATGGCGAAGCTGTGGGTTTCTTTGGTATGCAGAAAGGCGTGAAGTAGGGTGACCCACTTTCTCCTTTCCTCTTTAATTTATGAATGGATATTCTGTCCTTCATCATTGAAAGATTAAAGGAGACTGGACATATATATGGGTTCTGCATTGATGAGAGGAACCAGCATGGAGTTGTCACTCACCTTTTGTATGCTGACAACGCAATCATATTCTGCGACGATAATGAAGAGGAGGTTCTATATTGGCCGCTCTTGTGTGTTTTCAGAGCATAATAGGACTCAGAGTAAACCTCAACAAGTCCAGAATTTTCCCGGTTGGAGAGGTTCCCAATATCAGCAGGTTAAGTAAGTTATTTGGTTGCGACTGGGAATTCCTCCCCACCACGTATCTGGGACGCCTGATAGCTGGTTGGGTATCTGCGGCTGAGAAGGTTTATAAACAAGTGGTTGATTTATGGTTGTTGACTCTAAAGTGAAAGCCACTTCCCACTTCCAGCGGATCACCCCAACTCGGCGATTGAAGCTGCCTCTGCCTCTGTCTGTTTCATGCGCCCATCTTCCTTTGTTTTTGCCTTGCTGGCTTTCTTCTCAGTATCGCTGGGTTTTCTATGATTTCTTTGGTTTTGTTTTGTTTTGGTTTTGTTTTTATTTTTGTTTTCCGCACCTTGGGTTTACCGTTTTGGGTTTCCCTGTGCTGTAACTCTTCTTCTCCTTAATTAATATATATCATCCTTACAAAAAAAAAAGAAGTCTCTGCAGCTACCCAAGACTATCCATGATTCCTGCCTCACGTAATTAATTCGCCCAATTCGTCATTTATCAACCTTTGACATCGCCAAAGACGGAACACTATGTATGTTTTGGATTCAACCCTCGTGAAACTGATCCCAAACTAGTTTGTTTAGGCTCATAATTTTGATCCAGCCTCACCCATTCCAACCCAGTCTAGGCACAACCTCTAGCTTCTTTGTGGCCCACCTACTCGGATCCCTAGGCACCATCTTTCTAATTAGGACCCAATTGACCTGAACCGCCTCTTTCTTCATCTTGCTTCTCTCGAGTAGCTCAGTCCCTCTCTTCACATTGATCTTCATGCCCAATCTGTCAGGCCATGATTGATCTTCTTCATCGTGGACTATCAAGTCAATCCCACCATTAATAGGCCTAAATGAGTATAAGCTGTCTACCTTGGTCATTCCGCTTGCAAGGTTGCAGCTCCCAATTTCTTCATTGTTGATGTGAGCAACATGGTTGCCGATGACTTAAGCTCAATAAAGCCTCGTTCCACCAGCATAAGATTCGTCCTACCTAAGATTTCTATCGTTGACACTGCTGCCGATGATGATGACATAAATGCCACAAAGCCTGACACAGACATTAGCCCCATTAGAACCCTGAGGGTTTCCCCTATCTCCTCTACCCTGGTCCCTTCTAGACCATCACTTGGGTCATCATCTCCATCATTCCATCATCTTCTTCTGGAATTATTTAATATATTCCCATTCTCTTTATGAGGTTTCCTTGAGCGTAGAGACAACCTCTTGGAGCCTGTCACCCAACTTAATATGGTAATCCAACATGGAAACCACCACATCTTTGAAGCATTTAACAATGTTGATGTCTTTGACATCCACCTCGCGAAGAGAATGCTTTAGATGTAACTTATCGCAGAGAAACCCATATGCTCGAAGAAGTTCTGATACCATTAATGATGGAAGTATGAATCTAGGATGTCGCTGGTATAGATAGATAATTGAGAATAAGATTGTGATTAGGGATTTAGGAAGATTTGGGGAGGGATTAGGAGAACAAATAGGTAACTCAGATTAGAAGAAAGTATGGGGAGGAAGAAGAGTGTGTTCGGGGTGTTGGGGGGGGGGGGGGGGAAGACGACGGAGAGGAGAAGAGAGAGAGAATTCGACTTAGAGGGGAGAGAGTCTTAGGTTTGGAAATAATTATTCTTTTTTTAAGATAATTATTGTTTTGTATTCGTTTAATCAATTTATACCATAATTATAAAATATATAATCCAATAGGTTTTCTAGATGGTAAAATCCGCTACATATCCATAACCAGTGGCGAAGCTAGAAATCTAAATGAGGAGGGGCTGACTTTGAATCGTGATAATCGAGGAGGGAGGGGGGGGGGGGCTAAAGCCTTAGCGACTAGTCTATTTCCTAAATTTGTACGAATTTTACATGTAAATTGAAGAAAACCAAAATGTTGAACAAAAACTCAATCACACAAGACGATGACTTACGTGACCATCCGGAAAGCCTCGCCTAAGTTTGGTGTCGGCTTCATGGAGAGTACCTGAGTTCGGACTGTGGTAAAAGCATCATCAAGGTCGATGACGAAATCAAAAAGTCGCCAGCTATATTGAGTGTCGCGCATGCGCTTTTCGATTTCACAAGAACAGCCACCGCATGTACACTTCAGAGGTGGTTCGATGGCCTGGATTTCGTCCTATAGGCTGCGTAGTATAGTATAAAAGCTTGAAACACTAGCCTTTTCTTGCTGAAGGAGTGCTATCGTGCATTTCAACTGGTATAGACGAGGGAGACTTCCTGTCCTGAAACGCTCCTTGAGATCAGTCCAGATTTGATTGGCTGTCTTTGCACAATGAACGCTGACTCGAACCTCTCTACTCATTGAGTTCTTCAGCCGGCCTACCACATTGGTAGTTTTACTTGGTGAAATGTGTATAAAGATAGGAGCCTCTCTTCTAGGGGCATGCCCCATGGGGTGACCCACTTTTGTGGGAGAGGGAGGGCCTAACAGACCACCACACACGCGCGCGCGCGTGCCGTCCGCTCGAACCGACTGGTCGGTCGGTCGGTTGTTTGGTTGGTTGGTTCACTTGAGACTATATACATATTTTTTGGAGAAATTCCGAACGAAATTAATTATCTAATAATTAATTATTAATCGGTTATTCTGAGGAATATTCTAAGGATAATCGATTAAAAAGGAATATTCGAAGGATAATCCCGCAGGATTTATCTTAACCGACGGGTTTAATTAAGGAAGTAATTATCTTCCTTAATTAATCCGACTTATTCCCCAAGCAAGAGGGTATATTCCTAGGGGTTTGGCTCCTATAAATAGCCGCCTCCCCAGTCCCTCTAAACACACCACAACGAGCAAAAACACAATAGAGAGAGTGTTCAGAGAGCTCCGGTTTTCGGCCAAAACCGCGAGTATTGAGAGGAGCTGTTTTATCCTGGAGACAACCGGTTGATAGTCTCCGTGCGCATCGAAGGCAGTGCCGCGAACGTCTTAAAGAGAGCGACCTAGTCTGCGACTCAGCTCCAGATTCGGTAACCACGTTCTTGTTGTTGTTCTGTTCCTAACAGCATCGACACCGAAGGGAACGAATTCAAGGCCTTGGTTTATGAATTCATGCCCAACGGGAGCCTGGACGAATCGTTGCATCTGAAATCGAAGCAGACTCGGACTTTGCTTCCCCTCTGAGGAAGAAGCAGTTGAATTTGCTTGAGAGATTGAATGTGGCAATTGATGTGGCGAGGGCGTTGGAGTATCTTCATCACGGCCTAAACACTCCAATAGTTCATTGTGATTTGAAGCCGAGCAACTTTCTTCTCAATCATGAAATGACAGGGGTGGTTGGGGATTTCGGGCTTGCCAAACTTTTCCCCGAAGCCAAAGCCATAGTTATCAGTCGTAGCCTGTCCTGAAGCTTTGGAGTCAGGGGAACCATAGGCTACACAGCTCCAGGTGAGAGCCATAACTTGTTGTAGCTTTCCAACCCAACCTTTACTAACACTAGAATCAATACCCGCGGCTACGCCGCAGGCAACATGATCGCATTGTGGCTAATTTAGGTATTACAAACTGGTGTTGTCGTGCTACTGGCAACTTTGAGGATTTAAAAGTTTTGACTATGCTAAAAATGTTTGAAATTGTTTCACATGATCATTGTAATTAACATCAACTTTATCAATTCTGTGAAAGTGTGCAACTCAAGTACAACAATATTACTGGCAATTTCCTAAAAGTAAAATAAAAAATTGGGAAGAAGTCACATTAAACATCCAAAACTTTACCAATGCACCTATGGATTGGTAACACATCCTCTCGTTCAGCAACATGTATCTGATTGTTGGACTAAACAAACAAACAAAGACAACAAAAGAATAAAAACAGTAGGTCAATCGGCTCTCTTCTTCATCTTCATAACTGGTGTTACTTGTTTCATCTCATTAGCATTCTCAATCTCCTTGGGAGTTTCTACCTGAGTTTGTCCTTATTGAACTCGTCTTCCTCCATCATTATTAAATTCTCCATGGCATTCTCATCACCATAGTCCATAGGTACTTGTTTATTCATCGACTACCACAGCTACTCTTGAACTGCCATAACCAAATCATCAACTGGCCAACCAACTTGAATGGCCATTACCACAACTATGTGTTCGATTAGCGTAATCTTTAGTCCCTGCTATACACACTCTCTAGCTCACAGATAAAAGAAAATCAGCAATAGGTTACAGGCAAGTGCCTGAAGCAAGGAGAACACATACCACTTTATGTAAATCATATCAGTGACAATATATATGTATGAGTAGGAAGATGACAAAGCAAAGAAAGTGGACAAACATCATAGAAGACTCTAGCATTCTTGTAGAGTAACAGGGAAAGAAAGTGCATAGGCACCAGCAGAAAGAAAGTGCAGCAGCACTAAAACAAAAGAAGATCCACAATATCTTTGAACTGAAAGAGACAGAGATATATACAAACAATTCAACGAAAGTGATTTTGTGGCTAAATAAACTATACTACACATGGCATTAATAATTTCCTGCATCTATCTAAACATATGCAACAGCTAGTTAATGAGAAAGACTCAAAAGAAAATAGGGATGGAAACGAAGTTCCCATTTGGGATGGCATGTTTAGAAACACTTCTGTATGTTTTATGGCATCTCATGGGCACATTGCATGATTTTACAAACTTCTAAAAGGATATTTTTTTCATCCCGAACAAAGTTTTGATGCTTCAGCTAGTGTGTAAATAAGAAAATAGAGAACAAAATTTATTAAATCAGGCTCCAAATTCATCTTTAGGAGTGTAATAGACCTTTGAGTGACAAATTAATGAGGCAAAGAATCCTATAGCTCATTTAAGCTACATTGAGCAGAATATTAAATTGGAGACTACAATTGTATAAATTGAGCAGGCTATTACATATGCAAGAAAGTTCATCAAATCCTATGAAACTCCTTTGGGTAAGGGACCTTAATCATGCTGAGTATTGAGTTTCCACAAACAAATGAGGTGGCATCAAGAGATTTCGGATCTAAAATTGCTTCCGTCGAAGTCTTAGGAAGCAAATTAATCATGCTGAGATGGCATATTTAGAAAGCAAATTACAGTGGAACAACAGATTATGAAGCTCTGATGGGTTGGAGTCAGGACCAGCTACAAAAGCATACACCCCACAGAGGGGAAAAAGGGCCATTAAAGCACTGATGTAGTACAAAATAGCATTAAAGAAAATAAAAAACAATTTGGAGAGTGATTGCTGGGAAAGGAATCTCCCTGAAGCCAATTATGTTAGGATGGTGAAGCGATCTGTGATTCATCATTCTGCTAAAACTTGTGAGGAGTTTGATGCAGGTGTAAGGTTCCAACTCCAAGCAGCGTTTTCATGTCAGGGGGCAGAAGAAATCAATGACAGGCTTAAACTATCTTAGGTTTTGCTTAAGAGGGCCAGCGGCAGAAGAACATGGAAGCCAAAACATACATACCATCAAATAGCTAAAGAATGAAACTTACAGGTTGATCTGAGGTATGAAGTTTGGAACAAACTGAATGTGTGTTGGGTATGCCTAAAGAAGCCAAAGAAAACACAGCTTCAGCCAATAGGACAGGATCAAGAACAAATAATATAGGTAACCAACACAAATCTACCTGGAACAGAGTTAAAAGTAAGGTGAGGGCGCCCACCCTTAACTGATTTCGACTGGGCACTGATCAATCCACCATGTGGCCTTTCAAAAGACCATCCCCCAATCCTTTCAAAAGACCATCCCCCAATTATTTTCCACAACTTCTACGCCACCGTCGCCGGGAATCCTTCCGGGCAAACCAATACCTCAGCTATCGCTGATGCAGATCCTCCCTAGCTCGTCGAACATCCCCAAACCTTCAACTTTACATTGTCTCCCGGTTGCTACAGGCGAGTGGTCCTTCTGTCGTGACACCGGAGTGAACGGCAGAGGTAGCTCTCCTCGCATCTGCAACCCTTCCGTCGCAGCACCACAGCCGAAAAAATGGTTGGTGGAACGTGGAGAAGGTTGCATCTCGACAATCAAGGGTCATTCTTCTCCAGGCTGCAACGCATGAAGAAGGAAGCAATTTTCTCCGCACAGAGCGAAGGAAATAGGAAGCGAGGTCGTGACTGGTTGAGCTACAGGAAAAAAGGAAGCAAAATAAAATAATGAGAGGTGGAACCGAAGAGGACGATTTGGGCGAGAAGAAAGCAATTTTTCCCGCACAGATTAAAGGAAAGCAAGCGGCGCAGAAATTATGGGCGGTTGCGTGAGCGAGCTGGTGACTGTGAGCAGGGGTTAAGGGAGTGGGATTGGGGATTGCAGAATGGAAGGATGAAGAGATAGACATGACCGACCACTGACCGGTAAAAGCTTGATTTCGGGGGAAAATTGAGAGTAGGAAAGGTATGGCAACTGTAGCGCGGACTGTGGAGTATGGGCGATGGCCTGTGTTTGCTGGACTGAGGGTAAGGTTGAGAGGGATAGGAGTACGGCTGGAGAAGAAAGTGCGTGGAATGAGCTTTTCCAATACTTGGCCAATACTTGGGCTCTAGACGCCAAGAAATGAAACAGTGTTTAGAGTCTTTGGGGCGAAAAAGCGTACTCCCCTTTCATGTTTATACAATAGGTAATTTATTTGTAGTGATTCAGAAATAACATGAATATATATTTTTTTGTTGCTTCAATTGAATTTGCAGAATATGGGATGGGAAACGAAGTATTTACGAGCGGAGATGGGTATAGCTACGGGATGTTGTTGTTGGAGTTGTTCACAGGGAGGAGACAACGGATGAGATGTTCGAGGACGGTCTGAACCTGAACTTGCATGCTAAAGTGGATTCCTGGGAGGAAGCAAATGAGATATTGGACGTAATTTTGTTCGATGAGATTGAAGAAACAATGATATACGCCGCCAGAAACACTATAGTTCAAGAATGTGTTCTCTCAATACTTAGACTCGGAGTAGCTGCTTCGACAGAATCACCCGAGCAGCGGATGAGCATCTGTGACGTTGCAGTAGAGCTGCTTGGAATCAAGGGGAAACTTGTAAAAAAGTGGGTTCCTGCAAGCAAGCAAAAGACATATTGGACGTCTACTTCTGTACGAGAAGATGGAAGAAACCTCGATATATGCAGCAGAAACACTTCCATTCAAGAATGTGAGGCAGAAATATGAGGGTTAGGAGAGTACTTGAACGATTTTGACCCTTAGGTAATTAGATTGGGGGACCAAAGCCTGACCAATTGAATCGTTAATCGGTCGGAAGGAGTCACTTAATGCATGGATCTTCTCTTTTGAATCAAATTGAGCAATAATATGCTACATCAAATCAGACCATTTTTTGTCACCATAGCTTCAAAATTTTATGATCTTGATAGAAGGGCCAGCTCCTTCCAAAAGTCACGCAGAGAATGGATGAGCATCAACCGTTTGGCAGAGAAACTTGTAGAATTTGATGATGCGGAAGTACAAAAGAACACAGAACACGAGATTTTACGTGGTATCCTCGATCGATTGATTGATCGAGACTAATCCATGGTGAGCTCGAAAGAGCTCACGACTGACGATTTTATTATGGGACTACATTGTGACGGCTTGCTTACCACAATCTCCGTAGCTAAGCTTATATAGACGTAGGGTTAAAACCCTAATGACAACCAAGTTTTCTTCTTTGACAAGGACAAGGAAACAAGGGACGTGGAAGACAAGGAATTAATTATTTTTTACTAAATAATTAATATCCTCAACACTCCCCCTCAAGCGAAGACATGAGTGACAAGAATGTCGAGCTTGAAAAAGGAAACGTGACGAACAAGCATGACAAGCTTAAACAACAAAACTCGAGATGAATAACATCTCGGACGAGGTTGATTTGGAGACGATTGACTCTCTCCCTTGAACAACCTAACGAAGACGCTTGACTGCATCTTCTTGAACGTCGTGATGGTGACGGTTGACTGCGTCTCTTGAACGACCTGACGGAGACGGTTGACTGCGTCTCTTGAATGACTTGACGGAGACGGTTGACTACGTCTATCCGTATGATATGGTGGAGATGGTTGACTACATCTCCTGAACGATTTGACTCCCTATTCTCCCCCGGCCCTCAAGCTGACGCATGAACGACGTGAATGCCCAGCTTGAAAGTAAAAATAGTGGAGACTGAAAATTACCTGTTTCTGAACATCAAGGGGACGATCGCTTTTGTGATTGTGACTGCCTCGATTTATAACTTGAACTTTTTTTTGTTGATGAAAGTTGTTTTATCTCCTCAAACCCAACTAATGCATGACTTGCGACGATGTAACCGCAACATGACTTGTGGTGAGATAAAACTCCACCTTCCACTTCCCAACTGTAGAGTACCACACAAATTAAAGGAAGCGCCAGGACACACAAGCACTGGGAAAGCTTTGACATGAACTTTCACGTCAATCCTTGTGCAAATACCAACAGACACATGCAAAAACCATTATTCTTGACATCATGGTGCAAACACCAATGCCCCACGATAAAGTGTGAGTGCTTAAAGAAGATGATCCGGCGCAAGCCCGCAACGACTACAAGGCTTCTCGAAAGGGAAGATTGATGCAGGTTACTCTTTAACAGGAGCAATGAAATGCGACAATGAACCCAAAGCAAGCTACCAAGCGGGTGACAATTACATAACCTATCCAACCACCAGGAGCATAATGAATGCTTGAGAGGAAGACATCCGGCCTAGCACGCAATTCTCTAGTTCCCCGTGACTAAGATGAAGACATCCGGCCGACTAAACTTCTTGACAAACACAGCGAGTCGCACTCAAAAAGCCTCAAATCCTCAAGCGATGGGCACTTGGGGAGGAATTCGTTGAAGAAATTAGGCCCCAAGTGCACTTGTTTCAGTTCCAGAGTGGAAAGATTATCAAAACCCACAAACCAAGATGGTGCTTGAAATCCACAACAACGCAGTTTCAGATTCTCCAGCTGGCAAGCAGAGAAGAGGAACGCTACGACGTGAGGAGCTGCCTTCTACAGAGATGGTGTTGATGATGACTGCATGCAGCGGACATGGCCTATGAAGACCGATGAGACAACCATCATATGTTGATGGAGATTGGCGTCAGAGACAGTGACACATCGACAGGAAGCGAAACTGGGGTGATGACTTTGATACGAGGCCGTTTGATGGTGACGACAGCGGTATTGACGACGATGTTGAGAGCTTCAATCTTTCTCCGAGCAAGATTATAGGTCTGCGCCTCTGCGGTTGACGACGACATCAACAGTCATGGAGGTCCGACGCTTAACTTCTCCCTGCTTCTCCAGCCGACGAAAGGAGAAGGTCAGAAAACCGGAGTGAACATCGATTGGCTCTCCTGGAGACGACAGCCGTGACTGATGCCGTCGCAGACAGCTGGGGTTTTTTTTTTTTTTTTTGCTAGGAATGAATCAGGCTAAATCTGGACGAAAACCCTTGAAGAAGATTGCCTCGCCGCGAAGCCAACAAGACGTCTCGATGAGACTTTGCAAACCGACGTCTCCCCTAAGACTGAGCTTGGGGCTGCGAATATGGACACGACGAAGATGATGATGGCTACGACCGGATATAAGGACCGGAGACTTTGACTGGGTGCCGCGACCGGTGATGGTGTCGGCGGCAAGACAGAGACACGGCGGCAGCAACGTACTAATCCACGATCACACGATCTGCCAGCAAACTTGAGGGCGTTGGTGCGAGCCGATGTTGGGACAAGACGGATGCAAATGCACGAAAGCTCAAAACCCTAGATAAGGATCGAGTTTCGCTCTGATACCATGTAAATTTTGATGATGCGGAAGTACAAAAGAACACAGAACACGAGATTTTACGTGGTATCCTCGATCGATTGATTGATCGAGACTAATCCACGGTGAGCTACTCAAAGAGAACTTGTATAAGATTGGTCATGTTCCGTTTTCACAAACATACGCTTATTGATTTTCTTGTTCGAAGCTTACAGTTTGGTCACAATAAGATATATTTAATGACCATTCTCAGTTTTGGTCTCCAATCACAATGTACTGGTCAGCAAATGTTTTGCCAACAAGGCAAATGTGACTACTGTTGCAACCACACATAATGGTCGCTATAACCTGTTGGAACCGGAACTTAACATTTGTGACCGTTTTCCGCCGTGGCAAGAGACCAATTTGGTCATAGTACTGCGAATCTTCCATAGATTTATAGTATCGATATTAGTAACGAAATCAAGATAAAATCATATTAAACCCGTTACTAATACACGATTTTCTCAGTACGATCGGACGGCAAATGTGATACCAAATCCCTCAAGGAAATATTGACCAATCCCACGGGCATTGAGTATCACAGAACAACTTACAAGGTCAAAAACAACATATACGAAAATTCCTCACTCACTCAAAGCTCTAGCCGATAAAATAAAAATCCACGTGTCGCCACCACTGATGAATGACTCTCTACTCTCTACCCCAATCTGCACATTCAGAGTCCAGCGATAATTAGGGATGGCAATTTACCCACTCATGGGTAATTTTGCCCAAACCCAAGTAGACCCATTTATTATGGGTAGGGTTTGGGTGATGTGTGTATGGGTTTGGGGTTTGTATATGGGTTTGGGTTAGATATGAATATTATCTAAATGGGTATGGGTTGGATATGGATATCCATTTACTTGAGGGTGTTTTAACTACACATGCAAAAATTGGACTTATTTGTAAAACTTGAAAATTTTAGGTACCAAAATGTAAGACCAAAAAAATTTAGGTACCAAAACATAATTTTCCATCGATATTTTGAGGACTTATATGCAAAAAAAATAAATTTAGGTACTAAATATGCATATATATTAAGTTTAGGTATCAAACTGTAATTTGTATTTGGGCATGGGTACAAACCCGAATCCATTTGTTATAAACCCAACCCAACCCAAAGTAAATGGGTATGGGTACAAACCCATCAAACTTTACCCATATCCATATATTTGGATTTCATACCCAACCCAATTGGGTTGGATAGTAAAATACCCATGGGTATGGGCAAATTTGCCATCCCTAGCGATAATACGTTAGTTTACCGCCAAAGTTCAAATATGATAAATTATATACTCTGTAAAAAAAAAAAGTAGTACATATTTTTGTAGGTTATTTTGTAAAACATCATTGAAAAATTTAACGAATTCACTAGTAATTTCTTCGGCTTACCGTTTGTAAGCGATCCGAACGCGGCCGGCCTCACGTTTGGCTATTACATCGAAAGCGTCGGCGGAGACTGTGAAAGTGTCACAGTCTCCGCCGCACTGATTCGCAACAGTGACGGTCACCCGCCGCGTCCCTTTGCAAGGATGCGGGAAAGCGTTCACCGCGCCAACACAACGGATTTCGTACACCCGTCCACAGGCCGCTCCATTAGCGAATACTTTGGTCGGAACCATAGCCGGGAATCGCCCTCCGGTCACCGTACCGTTAGGGCAGGCAGAAGCTACAAAGTTTATCAAAAGGATATAAATAATAAGACACCCCTGTGCATCCCGTACCATTCGTGCTGAATTCTAATCGAAGGAAAATGACTTACAAGCATCGCGAGAGTCGTAAAACGCAGCTGTATCATTTCTTGTAGCTTCCGTCGAAGAAGTGAAGATCGTAGAACAGGCGAGGCAGAAGGCCAGAAGGGCCACGAAAGAGATGTTGTTGCTGAACAGAGTAGTAGTTCCTGCCATTTCCTCCGCGAATGTGTATTTTACGTATACAGTTGTTCGTTTTAACGGTAGATTCTTTCTGAATTGGTTTTGATTGGAGAGCTAGCACGGGGGGATGGGTTAGGGTTTTTATAAGGTAGATGGTTAGGTTAATTCGTACCCTAATGGGAATTCTTTGTGGCGTAGTTTCCATTGGCGACGCAAGTAAGATACTGCATTTTGGCAGAGGAAGTCGTTTCAATGGGGGAAAGTTTGTTGGCATTAAGAATGTGTCCAAGTCATGGAACCTTGTGTGCCTTTCCGGAAGTGAATTCTAAATTGTCTTCATTGATTTTTTTGTTGTTGTGTTGTTGTTGTTGGAAAGAGTCTTCATTGATCATTGATGGTGATTATCACATATTATGTTTGCAGGCAAGCTAGTTTATCTTTGCTGCATGGCCTGATATCATTTTTGCCACTCAACATATATATGCGTCAATTCAGGACATACTCCAACTGTTTTTCATCGAAAAGAAGTCATCAGAGTTTTAGATACTTGAAGGTTAATCACATATTATTGTGTTTATTTGGGAAATTTTCTTGTCTCTTGGAAGACTAAGAAGTTGACCACGGTCTCTCGTTCTTCTTGTGAGGCAGAATATCGAGTTTTAACCTATATCACATGCAGTAGCATAAAATTTATCTAAGGTAGGTCTCAAAGGCAAAAAAAAAAAATTCATGCAAATTCTGAGAGATGTTAAGATACCAGACCGAAAAATCACTCATGATTTTGTCACTCATCTATTTCTAAAGTGTTCCTTCGCTTTGTTCATGGCAGTGACTGGTCTTTCAACACTTGTAATGGCAAATATAGCAAGTAATGCCCATAAGTTTCAAGTTTTTGTTTATATTAAACTAGTTACATAATATATGAATTATAAGTTAAATAGAGACCACAATACATTGGTTTTCATAAAGTTGTTTACAATAATAAAGAGAACTTGTATATAGAGATAAATCTTCATAACTGGAAAAAGAAGTCTATTTTCTTTGAATTGCCATATTGGTCATCGCTCTTAGTACGACACAATTTGGATGTCATGCATATAGAGAAAAATGTATGTGATAGTATTCTTGGTACTATTATGAATATTGAGGGCAAAACAAAGGATGGTCTAAGTGCACGTCGTGATTTGGAGGAGATGGGTATAAGGAAAGATCTTCATCCTGTTGAGAGGAATGGGAAAACAGAGTTACCTAGAGCGGCATATAGCTTGACGGCGGCAGAGAAGAAATCCTTGTGTCAGTGGCTATCAAAAGTTAAGGTACCAGATGCTTACTCCGCAAGTTTGGCAAGTTGTGTCAATGTTGATGATCGAAAGATACATGAGATGAAAACTCATGATTTTCATGTGTTCTTGGAGAGGTTATTACCGTTAGCCGCCCGTGACTTATTTCCGAAGGTCATATCAGACACACTGATTGAGCTTAGCAATTTTTTCAAGGATATATGTTCCAAGGAGCTAAACGTAGAAGATTTGAATTACTTGGAGTCTCAAATTGCCATAATCCTATGTAAGTTGGAACGTATTTTTCCTCCTGCCTTATTCGATATAATGATCCACCTGCCCATCCATCTGCCTTGGGAGGCCAAAGTTGCTGGTCCAGTTCAGTATCGATGGATGTATCCTATTGAAAGGTATGCTATATATATAACTACACTAAAATTATTATATATACTGACATTTTGGAAAATTTGTGTAGTTAATTTGATATTTTTTAAACAATTTAGGTATTTGAAGAAGTTAAAAGGTTACGTTCGTAACAAGGCACGTCCAGAGGGATCAATCGCCGAAGCTTATATTGTTGATGAATGTGTCACATTTTGCTCGCAATATTTGACCGGAATGGATACTATATTTAATTGGCCAGTGAGAAATGTAGATAAATCTTCATCGTCGTCGCAGCCATCTTATGACCTATCAGTTGTTCCGGGTGTCGGTCGTGTCATTGGTGTGAAGGACGACATGAGAGACTTCAATACTGATTTGTGGAAGGCGACAGCTTCTTATGTCCTACAAAACTGTGATGAGGTGCAAGATTTTATAATGTACATATACATATATACCAATACTTATTTATTTATTGCATGCTAGAATGTAATTTATTTTAATTATATTAATTACAGAACTCACAAGGAACAACTAAGCAATCAAGGTGTTCGTATGGTTGAAGCAGTGCATAAGCAAGAATTTGCTAAGTTGTTCTTATTAGAGGTACATACATGTCATATATAATTAAGAATCTTGATATTTAAAAATTATCACAAGCTAATTTTAAGTTTATCCTTGTAATTATTTGAAGATTACACAAATGCACAATGATAAAGTGCCAAGTTCGAATCCTTCTTTGTTATCCTTAGCTCGAGAGCCAGACAAACGAGTCCTGCACTACTCAGGATATTGTATCAATGGATTCAGATTTCACACTCATTCTTGCGAGTTAACCAAAAGCAGTCAAAACAATGGTGTGATGGTGAGAGGGGAGAACGATGGTGGAATTCATTACTATGGCCTTCTCACCGATATCATTGAGCTTCGTTATACGGAAGGGCTTCGTGTTGTATTATTTCAGTGTGAGTGGTAGGACACTGCTCGCGAAGGCGTTGGTTACAGGAAAGATGGACATGACACTATTACCATCAACACAACGCGAAGACTTAGAACAGATGAGCTGTTTGTTCTGGCTAGTCAAGCAATTCAAGTGTATTATGTGCAATATTTAAGAGATCCAAATTGGGAAATTGTGGTTGAAACGCGACCAAGAAATTTGTTCGCAATGCCATCTAATACGGAAGGAGAAGGAGAAGGAGAAGGAGCATTAGACGAAACCTATCAAGAAGACAATATTTTAATTGATGATCCTAGGGTACTCCAAACCGAGGGAGATGATCTCTTAAACTGGACTAGAGCAGGGTTCGAAGATTAAATATGACTAATTTGGTCTTTGTAGATCGAAATATATATTATATAATTTCCATTATATTTTTCATAGAATAGTGCTTACTATGTGTTTTTTTATTGATTCAATAATCATTTCTAAAACATGTCATTCTTGTCTGATTTTCATTTATGAAAAAATGTATACGTTAATTTATTTTCTAAGAAAGGTTTCAATTTTCGTAACCAAATGTTTCAAAAGAATTGTGTATGGCATGCAAAATGTATTTGTGCTTACCATTTACTGCTGACGACATTTTATGGCGTAAAAAATGTGTTTTACGATATCAGACTAGTGGTTTTCCTGACCAAATAGTATTGACGAAATTGTACTGTTGTCAAAAAATAATTTTTTCCTGACCAATTAGTATTGACAAACTTTTATGATATCAGAAAATGTGTTTTATTGACCAAAATTATTGACGTAATTTTTATATTATCAGAAAAGTTTTTTCCTAACCAAATAGTATTGATGAAATTTTACTGTTGTAAAAAAAGAATTTTTCTAACAAAATAGTACCGACGAAGTGTTTATGACATAGCAATTGGGGGTTTTCGTGTTGTAAAAAAAAAACATTTTCTGACCAATTACTTATCAGGGGCGAAGCTAGCATAGCGATGCCCCCCTGGGAATTTCTAGAACATGAGTAATACCAGATATCGTCTAGAATTTGATATGTTAATATCAGCAGCGTAGTGGTAAGTGTCTTGTTTTGTAGAAGAGAGGTCAATGGTTCAAACTCTTATAGTCCCTTATTTTTGTTGCATTTTTTCTTCTTTTTCTCCTCCCATCTATGAGAGTGGAGGTCAAGGGGTTGTGGGTCCAGAAATTGAATTGATGGTTGCCAAAATTGTGTTCATTGGTTTCTTTATTATCAACAATTTAGTTTAGGAGTTAATGTATTCCTTTGAAATTGAGCTCGATTTTGGATTCTATTAATGAATTTCGATATTGATGTTATTTACCGTTTTGCAAGAAAGTAGAATCTTCTATTTTTTTAGGAAAATAAATAATTAGATACTACTTTTCTCTAGTTTTTTCTGGAAAATAAATAATTAGATTGTCATTTTAACTGAAGATTTTTCATGTTGATGTTCTTAGAATGCTTTTCTAGTTAATATATCATTTGTTGCTCAACTGTGTTATAATTTACCGAAACTTCGGCAGTCAAAAGACTTTGATCTTATTGACATGTTGATTCACCTTATTTTTAGCTTAAACACTATTTTGATTAATTTTATTTCCTTCAAATAGCATCGTGTAATAAATAAATTTCTATATCATGATTTTGTTTGAAAATTTTATTTTTGGCCCCACGGACTTGAAATCCTGGCTTCGCCCCTGTTACTTATGACGAAAAATTCATTTCGTCAAAATTAAAAAATTTATTTCGACGATCGGTATTTTGACGTCAATTATAATTATATTTTCTGACAACATATTTTTGTTGGTTAGTAATAATGATTATTTCTAACGCGTAATATGAAGTGTTCAAAAATAATCTGCGTGAAAAATGGAAAGTGGGGCAAAAAATATTTTACTGACAAAAAAATACTATTTTTTGACAAAAAACCACATCTGTCAGTAATAATTTCATTATTACAGACGAAAATTATTTTTCGTCGGAATTATTTTACGCATTTTTTAGTCGTCAGTAAGTTTTCGTCACAATTGCTTGCCTTTTTTGTCGTGACTACACGAAGAGCAACCAGCCATTAGCAAACTCAAGTTTGTCGCTAAAGAAACCCAACATCCGT